CATATATACACTACCAAACGTAAAATAGGTAGCTAGTGGGAAGCAGCCGCCTAGCACAGGGAGATCAGCTCGGTTCTCTGTGATGACCTAGACCTAGATGGGTGGGATGGGGGAGGGGAGGGAGGTCCAAGAAGGAGGGGATATATGTACACATATAGCTGATTCACTTCGCTTGTACAACAGAAACTAACACAACACTGTAAAGCAATTATACTCCAATAAGAAAAGGGCGGCAGGGGGGGACATGTTCACATGTTAAAAAAAAAACAAAAAGAAACGCTGAGCAGTGGCAGCCACCAATAAGAAAGGGAAGCCTGTCCAATGGGAACTACATGCAAACCTTCCAGTGATGGGGAGTGAGGCATTCTTGGAGATCATGTGCAAAAACGGCAGCCCACAATTCCTCCCACGCCTGTGCATGCACACTACTCCTCCCATCCAGAGGTGGGGTCTATTTCCTGCCCCTTCAATCTGGCTGGACTTGTGACTTGCTTTGACCAATAGAATGTAGCTGAAGTGATACTTTGTCTATTCCAGGCCTAGGATTTCAGAGGTCTTGCAGCTTCTGTGTTTGCCCTCTTGAGTTTGGCCTAGACTACTAAGTGATGAGAGATCCCATGGAGAGAGAGGGCATGTGGAGGAGGGCCAAGATGTCCTAGCCAACAGCTAGTACCAAGGTCCCAGACATGTGGAGTAAGGTCATCTTGGATCCACCAGCTGCAGTAAAACCACTGCAGCTTGGAACACACATGAGCCCTCCCCAGATTTCTGGTCCACAGATTTGTGAGCAAAATAAGTCATTGCTGTTTTACGCCACTAGGTTTGTAGATGATCTGTTATGAAGGAACAGATAACTGAAACAGACAACTGAAACAGACATCTTACGGTTCCCTCTCTCTCTGCCTCTCTCTCTCTCTCTCTCTCTCTCTCTCTCTCTCTCTCTCTCAGTGGCCCACACTACAGTCACTACAGTTTGCAAAGAATTTTCACATATTCCATCCTATGCTCTGGGAATGGGTGGCTCTTTGCAGGCAGAGGTGAGGGAGGACACCGGCCAGGGGGAATCTGAGGGGTCAGTGCCCCAGCTCCCAGCAAGGTGGACAAAGGCTGTTATCCTCTACAGTTTGCAAAGAATTTTCACATATTCCATCCTATGCTCTGGGAATGGGTGGCTCTTTGCAGGCAGAGGTGAGGGAGGACACCGGCCAGGGGGAATCTGAGGGGTCAGTGCCCCAGCTCCCAGCAAGGTGGACAAAGGCTGTTATCCTCATCTTACAGGTGAGGAAAGTGAGGTTTGGACAGCTCACTAAACCCAGGTGACCCTGGTCTAGTTACCACCTCTCCAAGCTATGGCTTCCTCATCTAAAATGGGAATGATGTGCTCCATGCAGGATCCCCCCATTTTTTTTTTTTTTTTTTTTTTGCGGTACGCGGGCCTCTCACTGTTGTGGGCTCTCCCATTGCGGAGCACAGGCTCCGGATGCGCAGGCTCAGCAGCCGTGGCTCAAGGGCCTAGTCGCTCTGCGGCATGTGGGATCTTCCCGGACCGGGGCACGAACCCGTGTCCCCTGCATCGGCAGGCGGACTCTCAACCACTGCGCCACCAGGGAAGCCCGGATCCCCCAATTTGACTCTTTTTTTTTTTTGCAGAAAGCTAAGCGTGCTTCTGTGTTTAAACACTGGATAGCCCTTCTGCCGTCATCCCGAAGTGCACTTTGTGCAACGTGGAATACGTTCTCCTTGCTGAACCACACGGGGCTCTTAGTATTCTGTGCATCAAGCCTTCCCGCACACTAGCAGGGGCTTAAGAGGTTGCGAAGACAAGCCTGAAACCTGGCACAGCTGCTAGTGGAGGAGATGCACACTCAGACCGGGCGGAGGCGTGGGGTCTCGGAGCACAGAACTGCTCAGGCCCACTTAGGGCCACCGAAGAGCAAAGGGTACGTGGGCAAACAATGAAGCGTCCAGGAGGTCGGGGGCTTGTCACGGCATATGCAAGGATGAGAAGAGCTAAACTCAAGATTGCTGAGCCAGCAGCAGGGAGGGACCTGCAGGCCTACGTTGGTCTGGAACTGGACCCAAGGGCAGTGGCAGTTCTCAGATCGACCCAAGGGAGGATTTCCTGAGAAGGGAAGTCCCACAGGATCCTACCTACCATGTGGATGACGCTCCGTGGTTCCGGAGGCCTTCAAAGATGACCTGAGAGTCTAGGAAGGGAAGTTTCTCTCTAGTAAACCCCAAACCCTCCCATCACTTCCCTTTAATCACTCATTCGGTCACTCAATAATACAGCCAGGGGGCTTCCCTGGTGGCGCAGTGGTTGAGAGTCCGCCTGCCAATGCAGGGGACGTGGGTTCGTGTCCCGGTCCAGGAGGACCCCCCCTGCCGCGGAGCGGCTGGGCCCGTGAGCCATGGCCGCTGGGCCTGCGCGTCCGGAGCCTGTGCTCCGCAACGGGAGAGGCCACAACAGTGAGAGGCCCGCGTACCGCAAAAAAAAAAAAAATAATAATAATAATAATACAGCCAGGTGGCAATGCAGCTTAGCAGTCACAAGCATGGAGTGCCAGGGTCCAACTGCCAGAGTTTATATCTGGGGTCTCTGCTCTATCACCCATTAGCTGGTGCCCCTGGTAGGTTCCTCATCTTTTCTGAGACTTGCTTATGAAATGGGATAGAGGAAATCTACACTGTGGGGCTGTGGCGAGCATCCATATAGAGCTCTTAGCAGAGGGCCCGGCACATCGTAAGTACCCCCACAAATGTGGCTATTCTTATTGTTAATCATAAGCATTTGTTGCGTACTTCTCGTGTGCCCGACACTGTGCCAGGAACTGGGAGAATAACGGGAAGCGAGCCAAAGAAGTGGAAGACGCAGCCCCTACCTCCAAGGAACACACAAGTCAGCTGGGGGAACAAGACATGTTCCTGCGAGAGGGCAATGCTAAAGGCCCGGGGCCCGCGGGTGCGCCCTCTGCATTCATTAGTCATCCAAGGCCCCAGGGCCTCAGGTCCACGTGCAAAGACACACGGACGCGGATATCACTAGTTGCTCACGTACAGCTGCCCTCCCCCTCCCCCCACATCCCCTGCTGGCAGAGCCACTGCTGATCCAATGTCCCTCTCTTCCTCCACGAGACAAAGGAGTAAATCGTGATCCATCTAAGGTAGTCACATCACCCATCCCCTTGCCAGTGGAACATGAAGGGACATCTGCTGGGGGCTGTTCCCAAAAGGGATGTGACTTGTCTGCTCCTGAAACCGTAGCAGCCACCTTGGGGCCGTGAGGGGTCAAGCCTGAGAGGTAAAGCTGATGAGCAGGGGACGGCAGAGGGGAAAGGGGAAGGAGCCTGGATGACCGTGAGCCACCTTGGGCCCTGCTTTAAGGGGACTAGTGGATTTTCCTTATTGTGTGAGCCAGCAGAACCTCAGCTCCAGAAAACTGACGTAGAAGGACGCTGCTCTCATCCTCGCTGGGTTCATTCCCGCACTCGCACACACGTGTCGGCTTACACACTCCACGTGCCAACGTCCAGATGGTCTCATGTGGAAGAACTAACCTCCTTCCCTCCCTTGAAGTATTGAGAGAAGAGCTTGGGCTATGGCAAGGTGGCCCCAAGAAATTAGCACGAATGTCGCTCCCAACCCAAATAGCAGATACCCCTGGGGTCTCTCCGCAAGGTCAGGAATTCTCTAATCTCTGACCCAGCCAAGGACCACAACCCGCCTGCCTTTCTGTCCTGATGAGGGAAGCTGATTCAGAAAGGAGGACCGTTTGCAAATAAGCATGGAGCCTACCAGCCTTGTATTCCTGATGTCACCTAGGCTCTCCTGTCTGAGCCAAAGACACCCCTTAAGGGACCTCATCTCTCTCCCTCTCTCTCCCTTTCTAGACCACAGAACAGAGTCACCTAGCAACAGTTTCCTGCAACATGGTTAAAACAGCCAGCACATTCTATTCATTTCATCCTGCAAAGATCATTAAGTCACAAACTCTTTGGAGAACTGAGGGCAGGAGAGGTGGGGTACCACTCTGAGGGGTCCCTGGATAAACATCAAGGTTCCTTAAATGAGTCAAGTGCTCCATAAATCTCAGCATCATTTCATTCCATTGGTGCCCTCATGTGCTGCCACCACTATAGTCATCAACAATGACATGTCAATTAATCATTTATATTGTAATCTGTTCCTCGGTGTCTCTTTCCAGAGAAGATTTGACATGGGTCATAAGCCCTGTGTGATGGTAT